CACTTTTGATTCTGTTAGTTTTCTGAATTGACATGAAAAGATATGACAAAAAAGTTAAGTTCCAAGGTTTTAACTTGTACTTGCATGCACTTCACAAGAGTTAAATTACAGAGTAGCATAGCCATAAAACGTGTGGAATTGTCTGAAGTTACTTTGAAGAGTAGTAACTCTTTGGCAGGGTGATACTGTGTCGCTTTGCGATGCTGAAAAACGCCAGAATCCCATAAAAAGTCGTTTTCAAGTGTCGCTTCTTTAATTTGGTTGGCAAATTCCTATGGAATGCAACGATAACCCCAATAAATATGTTGCCTGTTTTCGAATCTACCAATTTAACGTGCATAACTATTATCGTTATTTATATAAAATAGCCTTTTACCTTTACAACACGTCATAGAAGGAAGTGTGTTTACACACACACACATATTCAGAAACAATTGTCTAAAAAAAAATTGGAGGGAGTATTATTCTTTTAATTAAGAATGAAGGTATGGATCCCAATTCCGGTAGCAAGAGGCAAGCATACAATTTCCCCCCTTCATCTTTTTGAAAGGGTTAGGATATATAGATGAGACCCCTGAAGAGTCACAAATTGTGCGGTCTTCGAAATGAACAGAACTTGATGGCACTCCACTCGACAGTCGAGGATTTATTAATGAAGCAAAGTCAACGCAACAATGTTTAAGGTAGTTTCCATGAAGTATTAATTAAAATGGAATGCCCATATATGAAGGTTTTCCCAATGAATCACTATTCCACACTTCGTCTTTTATACATTTCCATCTAAAATTTTAAAACTATTATATATGTTTTACCGTTTACGACCACAGTCGCTCTCAGGTACAATGTGCAATAATAATATCCTTTTCGTTGTTGTGAGGGCGATACTATGCAATGGTGTTCATTTTAACCTGTCATATTATTTGTCTTTGCATGCACTTTACCCAGCAAGATCCTATATAGTAATAGCAGTTGTTCCAGTAAAACAAGATAACCGTTGATTCTTTGTTGAGGGTTCGAATAGGGGATATTTTGAGGTCATCCTATTCGCCATCTCTCGCAGATGAGGACAAATCATGGTTCTTAATCTAACGTTTGACCTCACTTGGCTTAATCCTGTTCGAAATTTTGATTCATTGGGCTCATCATTCATAAGATCTCGTTTCAAATTGAATGCAGGCAACATTTTGTGTTGAATTTACCATAACTGAAGTATGCTATGACTATGGAAAATTGCGAACAATAAGATTGGGGTTTGAACTCATGTTCTGGATGGAAACGAAGAGCGAATCTGTGATCCATATTCATGACTTACGAAGTGAGAATCAGTGAGAAATTGAGAATATATACAAGACAGCGACGGAAGCACATAGTTTAAGGCCAAACAAAATCAACACAGACCCTTGTCTCCAAAGGATTTTCCCCGACAACCTCTTCAGTGGCGTGGCTCTTGTTCTGGTCGATCTGATGGTTTAAGGATTGGGTGGCAGCAGAGGACTGAGTTGCAGCAGCTGGAGGCGAAGAAGTTGATGAGGAATGGCGAGGAGAGGGGAAATAAGAAGCTATGAGAGCTGCAGAATCCCACTCGTGATTCCCAACGAGTTCCGAAAATAGCAGTATCAGTGAAGCCATTCAAATTTGTGAAGCAGAGATGTGATATTATTCCGCTGTAGAAGCTTATGAAGGAGGATCAATATTTTTATAGATAAGGAGAAAGTGTGCAAAAGAGACTTGGATAAGGGCGGTGAAAAAGTAAAAGGATGATGATTCATGAAGAAGAAGAAGAAGCAGCTGGTTTGAATGAGTTTCCAGCAGCTGGGGCCTGTTGTTCTGCTTTCAAAAAAACAAGAGAAATGAACTTTAATTTTGTTTTCTTTTTGGTGTAGCCGTTGGTTTCCTACAATGCTTGAACCTTGTGGTGGAGCCTGAAGTAAGGTTGGCTTCACATTATTTTCAAAGCTGGATCCAAAGAACTGGATTCTTACGAAGCAAGGTTTAATGTTTGAATATCAGAAAATACTTGTACATCAATTCAACTATACTTTTTCTTATGATGGTAATTTAGCAGATATCAAATAATAATATAAAAATAAATTAATCTTATTCCCATGTGGACTTTTTTTAAACAGTTATCCGGTGGGCTTTTCCGCTTGTTTAGGCAGTGGCGTGTTGCTCTGATGACGACTGACGAGCTTGAATTATGCAAAACCATTGGAAGGCTGACAAAAAAAAAAGAAAAGAAAAGGGGACAAACCCACCGGATTCCCACATTCCACATCCGGTCCAAACACCCAACCCCCCCCCCAAAAAAGTCAATGCAACCATTAAATGTAATTAAAAAAAAAGATCCAGAAATAATACTTTTAGAACCCTAAAGCTTTGGACCGATGAAGATCTTTTTTTCTACTGAAGAACAAGGGCAAATTAGTAAAAAAATCCCTGTTTGAAATTTTAATTGGCCAGAAAGACTTGATTTGTGCAAGTACAAATATGATTTGTGAGTGTAACATATCATCTGCTATGTGCAAATTGCACATAGTGGATGATATGTTGCACTCAACGGATAATATATTGCACTCATAGATCATACTTGCACTTGTACAATTTCAGGTCATTCTGGCCAATTAAAATTTAAAATAGGGATTTTTTTTTATCAATTTTCCCGAAGAACAATGAGTAAAATCAAATTCTGACTGAGGAAATTACGTGGGTGGGTCTTCTGTTTTGAGTATGTATATGGAATGTGAAGTTTGAATGGTAAAATGTACGGTGGCACACTGAAGCCCAAATCCAGTACAAATAGAAATAGCGATTGGGACTGAAAACTATTAGGGTATTCCTCCTCATTTTTTGAAGGGGCCTGGTTACTCCCGTCCATAAACTGATCCAACTGTTGGAGCCCAGTCTCCTGTACTCTGGTAATCTGGGCTTTGGACCATCAAGGTAAAATAAGAAGGTAGTTTTCCAAATAGCCATGGTCCGCGCACTTTCACAAAACTGATCCAGCTTCATTTTACCTTTCCACAGTAGCCTATAAGTACAGTCAACTTACGGCTTCTCGGCTGTGTCGTATATTTTTTTGGGCCACCAGGTTTGCTGTATTTGTAAGGCCCATTTAGAATAGTTTATGAATAATTTTTTAATCATAATTTACCCAGAATGCTTATTCCCAAGGGAAAGACTTTGCCAGACAGCCAGTTACTCTGATGGAAAGACTGGTTCTCTTGCTATAAATTCACCGTTCATCACCTCAGGTCTGGAGAGTAACAGGAGTTTCAGAGGCTGGGAAACTTTTTGAGGTCTTGTGAGGAAATTTGCTATAATGTTTTGGTGATCGCTGATGATACCTCCATTATCCAGATTCCTCGACAGATCCCAAGCCTATGTCCCATCCAAGAGAGACTCTCCAATTGCTTGGGTAGACTAAAATGCCAAGCCATGTTATGTGATGATCTCGAATATCTTCATATCCTGGTGGTGCTTGTTGGATTTCAAAGAGATTAAGAATTTCAGTACACATCATTATGACAGGTAGATGTAATAGTACACGTTATTATGACTTGACATTTAATGCCCTTCAAGAAAAATGAAGATATCAGTCCAACCAAATGCTACTCCCAGACCTCCAATAAGACCACCTCACTCCTTGAAAGAAGAACCAATAGAGAAATGAAGATTACGACGAGGCCTTTCTCTGTTTCAACAGAAATCTAATTCCTTTAGGCAGTACTTGAAGATTCCTAGTATGATAATAAGCATCGAATTCAATAAGAATATCTTTCCCCAATAGATCATTACCAGGAACTCAAAAAACAGATTTATCTCTTCTAAGTCCTTATAGTCTTTATCACCGTACCAACCGTGTCACCATTTCAATTTGCGTAAGACGTGTCTATAAATGCCTGTAGATGTGATTCCAAATGGACCCGAAAACTTTCTCAGTAAAAGATTCCACCGTTTTTTTTTAATGCCTGAAGTTCTATTACCCCGGTCCCCTAAACTGCATGGCAAAGAAACCCGTCTATTATGATTGGTGACCGGATGCAGAATATTAAAATGCATATTTTGAACGACGTTATCATTCTCTAAAAACAGTTTTCCAATCCGAATTTACATTATACTGCCTCTGGTGTTGAGTTTATTTGATTTTTATTTTGGTCCTAAATATAAAACCTCAGTTCACTTTATCTCTTATATTTATCTAATTTTTTTTAAAATAGTCCCTCTAATAATGGTAGTTCTAACCACTATAATTGATTAGCAGTGATATTTTAGAAAAGACATCACTTATTTATTACAAATAATTAACTTAACATATTTCTTTAATCTTCTCAAATTAATCAACTAGTTCTTATAATTAGGACCAAAAATAGTATAAGACTTACATAAACATACTTATAAACACTTAATATAAATAACTCGTCTTAACCCCCTTTTCTAAGATAATCGGTAATGATGGGATAATTTCTTAGACTTTCTCATTTTATTTTATTTTTAAAAAAGAAACCACGCCGCATTTGGATTTAGCTTTGAGACCCCAGTCACTAAATTGTAATTAAATAATGTCAGGATGAAGATATCATATTTTTCCAGAAAATAAACAAACCATGTTAGGTCACTCAACCCAAGCCGTTCTCAATTTATTTTAGAGGGTGTTGCACTCTATAAAGTACCTCCATACAAATGGAGATAAAATTCCTAAAAGTTATTTTTAAAAAGTTAATTCAAATAACTGAAAAATACAGCCTTCGGAATTGTTTTTAAAAAGGACCCCGACCCTCGTCCTTTCTTTAATTTTTTCCTGGAAAGTTACTCACGTTTTGGCGCAAATACCGAAAGTGCCCTTGGTGGACGCACGTGCTTACCGGTTGCATTTCCGCAACTGCGCAATTACGCGGAGTCACGAAGACAGCATGACAAAAGAAACGAAGATGGCGCTGTCACCAAAAGGGGGAAAAGAAAGAAAGAAAAAAAAAAACGAAAAAACATAGGTATCACCAATATATCAAAAATACACGCTGTTTATTTATACTGTCATCTAAGTCAACACCAAAGCAGTGGATTTACTTTCAGCAACTCACATAACTGAATTAGTAACTAACATACTCAAATAAACCACTCTGTTTTGTTTTTTTTTTTTGGGGACTTTAATCCAGTACAACCCAAAGAAACATAAGTAAGACAAACCCTCGCTGCTTCAGTTACACAAACCTGCACAGGCACAAGGAAAAAGAAAGTAATTGTTAGTAGGAGTATATTCTTTTGCAAGGAAAAATGGAGAGTTCAATGGTAAATCAGATGAGAACAATAAGTAATTTCCGTGCAATATATCTGTTACTTATAAGGCATTAGGGACCAAATCAGGGATTCTCAGATCTACAAATTCCGGGGTTGGGGGGGTGGGGAAGAAGCAAGCAAATGATCATCTTCCATGGAAGGATCGTAGGAACGGAAGAACGCGATCTGCTTTGAAAATGTTAAATCTAGATCTAACAAACATCAGGAAGACAGAGTGGCGAATTACCTTGACATAGAAGGCGATCTAATCGCTGTCGCTGCTGCTGCTGTCATGGCCGTGGCCATGTTCGTGCTTCTTCTTGTCCTTCTTCTTCTTCTTCTCTCCCTTCTCATGGTCATCATCACCATGGATCTTGTCCTTGATCTTGTCCACAAGGCCCTCCTTGTGTTCTCCGCCGTGGTGCTCGGGCCTGTGGTCGCCGTGACCGAGGTGGTGATCGCCCTCGCCCTTGTGCTCGCCGAACCCGTGGTGGTGATCGCCCTCCCCCTTGTGCTCGCCGAACCCGGTGTGTTCACCGTGGTGCTCGCCCTTGTGCTCGCCGAACCCGGTGTGTTCACCGTGGTGCTCGCCCTTCTGCTCGTCCTTCTTGTGACCTCCGAAGGTCTCCTCAATCTTGTGGATGATTCCTGACATTGTCTCAGCTCCTTGATCTTCTGCAACGTATGGTCTGTGCGATGATCTGCTGCTGAAGAATCGGGAATGGACCGTATTTATAGGCAGAGAAAGCGATGGTGAGGATGAGGAGGAAAATGGAATTACGAAAATGACCCTGAAGACGTGTGAAGGAAAGTGAACGCGGAATAATGAGTAATCGGATTTTTTTTCTAAAAAAAAAAGTAAAATTGAGTGGTCATGGATTTGATCTAAAATATTGGACATAAATTACTTCAGACTCCCGATTAAGGGCCTTAAGACAGATGGTGGTGGTGTCCAGATTCAAACAAATTGAGTTAGGACATAATGTTGGATTGGGACGGGAGATAAGAAATTTTATTTTAATACTCCTCCGGTCCTAATTATAAGACCCAATTGACTTATTTGAGGAAATTAAAGAAGTAAGTTAAGTTGGTTATTTATAATAAATAAGTATTGTCATTCCTAAAATATCCTTGCTAATTAAGTATATTGGCTAAAACTATCATTATTAGAAGGATTATCTTGGAAAAAAATGCATAAATATAAGAGACAAAATGGATTGGGTCTTATAATTAGGACCAAATAAAAAGTCAAATTGGGTCTTATAATAAGGACCGGAGGAGTACTACTATAACTCAATAATGTCACGTCATCTACATCTATATCATATCAATTTACGTTAAAAGAAACTTGAATTTTTATTCATTTTGTTAGTTATTTTCATTCTTGCTCGTGAAAACGTTTCATAAGCTGTCCGTAGGTTTTATATTTATATGTTTTATAATTATTTTTTTAAATAAAAGGAAATGTTAAACACTCGTATCTTTTTAAATTATTTAAATTTAAATACTTAATATATATATGTATATATTCGTGATATTGAATGTAGCCTTTGCGGCTTAGCTCACCGGCTGAAGATCTTATCTTTACCACATCATCACCAGTAAGACGATCAAATCTTGGTATATATGGGTCCCTTCGGGGACATCCGATCTTGGTATATATGGGTATTTTCGTCTTTTAATCTAATAATTCCAATAATGATGCCCCCTCCTTTAGAATCCCGGGGGTGTTGCTGGCAAAAAAAAAAGGAATCCCGGTGGTGTTGAAATGAAATCTCCACTTTCGTTCGAATGATGAAAGGCCCAAAATTTACATTCAAACAAACACGCCGTATTTCCAGCCAGCGATCCGGGATCATTTTATTAGGCTCGCTTTATTATTTTATGACATTTACCATATATATTTTTAAAATGATTTTTTCTTTTTTTTCAGGGCAGGGCTGACGAAGCCATCAATATCCGAGAGTGATCTCAGTTTTTATTTTTATTTTTTATATTTTTTCTTCTTTTCAACGTTGGTGTTTTAGATATTGAATGAAACACGCATTGTGTCAAAATATAAGAATTTACGTCACGTGTAAGATGGAAGAGTATTGGGTTGTAAAAGAAATTTTTCCCAAACTAATCATTTATGTATTAGATAGATGCATGCGATCCAATACCAGGCATACGGAAAAAAGAGCCACTTTAATTTGTGAGTCAATATACACTATAAAATCTATATATACAAAAAAAAAATCAGAGCTGGTATGGTTAAATGGTAGAATCTCAAATAAACCCGTTAATCTAAAAGACATTTTTAAATTCCTGAGATCAAATTCTGCAATGCAAGATTGCTAATCAATTTTTTTTTTTCATTCATCTCTTATTTATATGGGGTCTTTTGTTTAATATTTGTACTGCACATAAATTTTGTAAGTTATTTTAAATAACAATAATTTTAAAATAAAAATAATATTTAAATATTCATGTCATTTATTAAATTTTGTTTAATAAAATTTATTATTAAATATAATAATTATGAAAATGTAAACAACTTTATTAACTTCATGGTCTTTTTAATAATTATACATCCATAAGCGATTTTAATAAATGAAAACCAAACATAATCACAATTTTTAAAATCACTTATTAAAAAAAATTCAAACAAAAACCAAACATAACCAGTGTCACTTATAGCCAATGTTACTTATAAAATTCATGATTATTTAAAATCATAATTATTTACCGCTAATCCAAACAGGCATTCAATAACATTACCTATAATCAATGCTACTCAGTGTATTAAAAAAAAAAAAACAATGCTACTCAATTACTCGTAAAACATTATACAAAGTGTATTAAAAAAAAACAATATACAAAGGGCTAAAAGGGAAACATGGAGCGGGAATCGTCAGTCAAAAAACACCGCTGTACTTTAGTTTATTACTTCATAGAATTCTTTTTATTAATGGAAAAATGAGAAAAGAATTGTTATGGTGTATGCATGTTTACGTGTGCTTCCTTCTAACAACAGAATTTAATCAACTCGTAATAATTTCACCTTTATCAAATTAATTGAAACGAAATATATTGTTTCCATCTGGGGCCAGTGGTCTGATTTCACCATAGAGGACATATCTTTGATAAAGGAAACGAATAATCAAAGTGAGGGGAAAGAAGAAAAAGACACGGCGCGGAATAAGGCCGACCCCACGACGGTGACCAACAACGGCGACAAATCGTGCAGGAGACACGAGGGCCGACTTCCCTCCCGGCCCCGCATTGCCCATTAGGAGGTGTTTGGGGTGATGGTTTTAAAAATAATTTTATGATATATCAAATAAATACATAGAAGAATTTATCTTAATTTATGAAAAAGTGTTTTTTAAAATCATTTTTGAGATGTTCCAAACACCTCTTTAGTCTGATTTCTCACTTTTGCTTTTAAATAATTACGAACTATCTTTAGTGCTTAAATTTAATATTACTTCTGATTTTAATTGTAAGACCTCATTTATAAACTATAAATAAGGTCTTATGATTATGATAGGAGGTGGTATAATAACTAGGTAGAGAGGGAGATTTGGTCACACATATACATATGATTTTAAATTATTTTGTCTCTTATTTTTTTTTTAAATATTTCTATTAATTATAAGAAGTTTTTATTAAAAGATATTCCAATACGCATTATTCAAGATGGTAATTTAAGAAAATAAACACATATTTGCAATGAAAAACTAAATTCATTAATTTTTATAATATCCTCAAATTAGTTATCAAGTTTTTATACCAAAGACCAGTAGTAATATATATCTTAAATTAGATAGTTGGTACGCAAATTTATAAAAATCCAGCATGTAATTTCTAATTTGTTATGGATGCGAAAAAACTAAATCGTCCCAACTTTAGGTTGTATTCCTTCCAATTCTATTTATAAGCTTTATATTTGGAAAAGAGTGTGATATATTTTATAAGTTTTAATTTGAATTTGTGTTAGCATTTATTGTATTTTTTTCAATGCCGCCCTTGATTATTTCTTTCTCATCATATTTTTTTATACATTCTCTTTCATCATTTTTTTTATTTATTATAAGGGCATACTCATTTGGTCCTATTTATAGGGCAGAGAGAGAAGACATATTTTTTAATCTTATTTGTAGGATATTGAGAGAAATTTTTTGTGTGAATGTATAATTCTACCGTTAATTTATTATTGTGTTAACTTTGTTTACTTGAAGTATAATGGATATTAAATATAGATAAAGTTGAAAAGTTGTTAAATTTTAAATAAGAGTTAATGAAATTTAAGGTTTTTCTTAGTCTGTATGAGAAATGTTAGAAGCGACTTATAAATAAGATTAGAAGGGTATCAGAAAACAAAATTCTATTTCTAACATATTTATTATTTTTAACTAATTTTAATTAATTATTAATTAACTATTTAAAACTTATAATAAGAACTTGAGGAGGTATTTTAATCCTAAAATCGTTAGGATCTGGGGCGTTGTTTTCACATCCGTGACAAATTGTAACAAGGATCTAAATAAGTCTCTTATTTGGAAATTATATATTAATTTTCAGGTAAAAGTACAAATTTATCTTCATCTTATTTTTTAAATATATCCAACGATATTTTCAGTGATATGATTTTACTCATAATTTTTTTTGTGCAATTTTACTCGTAATCTTATTTTATTGGGTACAATTTTTACCTTTAATGTTTGGATAAAATTGTACAACGAAAAAGATCTAGGTGTCGATATGTCTAAGAAAAATTACCATTATTGATTAAAGAAAAAAGAAAAAATCTTTTATGTGGTGTGGGCTCGTGTGAGCGACGCGTGGAGCAGGATAAACTTGCCGACATATGAAGTCAAAAAGCATCGTCCCTTCCCACTCGTCTCGGTTTCCTCGGTGAATGGGACACATGGATAAATGATGCTTGCGGTGATGAAGGATATGGCGAGATTAATCAAAAGTAGACTAAATATCTGTATTTTGAAATAAAGAAAAAAGGAAACAGACATTTAATTTGCATTTAATTTAAGCGTCACCTGGCTTTGCTTTCAGCATGGTTCCGGATCCGTTGGCACCAAAAGCATGGGTCCGGATCCAATGCTTTTCTCTATTGGTTGGTTTAGTCCTTAGTCTGTGTTTGGAGCTAATCTTTAAAACAAAAAAGAAAAACGGAGAATTTTAATAAACCTCCTTGGTAGCTACTTTACAGCAGTGAATCTTCAAAAAGCAATTTAAAATTTTAGTCAACTCTCTTGAATTAAAATGAAATTAAAATTTAAAAATGAAAATTCAATAATATCCCTACTTTTTATTTCTGTAAAAACAAATATTAATTCTCCGAAGATTTTTTTCAAAAAAATAAGATGGCCAAGGAGAATTTGAACCCATGACTCTCTGGCACACAAAAAAAAAGTGACTACCAAGCCAACCAATCCATTTGCTCATATAATGCAAAGAAATATGTATATATATATATATATATATAAGAAAACAAATGTAAATGATTAAGTGTAAATGAATAAATAAAATTCAATGATTTACAAGTAAAATTTAACAATTTACAACAAAAATAGGTTATCTACAAGAAACATAAGGAATTCTCTTATGTGTTTTGTAATATTTATGTTTATTGTAAATCGCTAGATTTGCATTGTGAGTTACTAAATTTTATTTGTTTACTCACATTTAAGCACTTATATTTGGGGTTGTGATTTCTTTTATATTTTTTGTTAGTGGCTCAATTTGGATTGTAAATTGCCAAATTTTTATTGTAAATCACCGAATTTCACTTCCTCATTCATATTTAAATACTTGCATTTGGAGTTGTAAGTTTCTTTATATTTGTTGTAAATCGTCAAATTTTTGTTGTAAATTAATGAATTTTATTTGTTCATTTACACTTGGATGTATTTATTTTGTTATATATATATATATATATATACATTTCTTGTATTATATGATTAAGTGGATTGATTGGTTTGGTGGTTATATATTTTTCTGGTGTGCTAAGGGGTCATAGGTTCAAACCCCTTGATTATCTTGTTTAACCAAAAAACAAAAAAAAACCCTTTGCCCGCCAGAACTCAGCCCTCCTATGACAATTAATATTTTTTAAAAAAAATAAAAAGGAAGGGTATTATTGTATTTTCATTCTTAAATTTTAATTTTATTTTAGTTTAAAGGGATTAACTAAAATTTTGAAATGTTTTGGGGTCGAATAATATTAAGTAGTTACGGAAGGCGTTCATTGAAATTCTCCCAATAAAAATTGGGAAGCCTCTGGGGGTTCTTCTCACCTGGTTTTTGGCCGCCTCATCTCATCATTATCATTTATCGAATACAAGTGATAATGTTATCAAGAATACATTCTGTGATTAAATATCAAGAATACTGTTGAAAAAAAAAAGATTAAATATCATAAATAAAGTCTCTGCTCGGTACCTCCCATGTAGGATTTAGGAACAGGTATCAGAGCCAATTTCGCCCGCCAACAAATAATGGGATTCCGGGTGCACGTTCATTCAAGAATAAAGGCACCTGGCCACAATGTTTACTCCAATTAGATTCTTAAGCCGAAGTTTCATGTCCTTCCAGCTAACATGCCATTTTTCTAGCATATTCCTCCCCTAAATCTCAACGCGCATTCGCCATGATTTGTCTCCACTTGGTATGATCGTCTAAATTCGATGTTTGTCAGCTCATCGTTCTGTACTGTACAACATAACATCAAGTACGTAATACTTGTCCGATCACATCTCTCAACTTCATCTCCACAACAGATTAACAAAATTTCATGCATAATCCGGCCAAGAATGGGAAAGAATCGACACCAAGGAAGGTGACGCAAGTCTCAACTCTAATTCAAATTAATTGATGCTTTGAAAATATCATTTACATTCGGTCCCAAAATGGAAAAAGAAGAACATTTACATTATATGCAAATGTCAATAAGCTGTTGGACATAGGTACAAATCTCACATGAATTCCCAAAAGAAACTGACCAGCACAATCATGCACCAACAGCTATACACTAGCATAAAATATAATGGTTGTTAACAATCAATAACCATTCCTTATTGTCACAGGAGTACCGCGTTGTTGCGTTAGAAGATAAAGGGAGGACAAACACAGGATGGTTCTGACACAAAATGTGACAATGACATCGTAAATCCTTGGCTCAACTTCCAAACTCTACTCAGCTGCTGCCCAAGTGTTATCTGATTGCTCCGAGCAAATTGGCACCATCAAGCTTTGCACCTTCCAGTTGCTGGGAAAAGATGTTATAAAAATGAAAACTAATAAGCTAGATTATGATGGTTGGAGCTGCGAAATCATTATCCGTCTTTTTTACTCTCACTGTCTTTTTATAATTGACGAAGAAGCAGTTTGATTGAGACACAACCCCTTAAGCATAATGAAAAATACTATAGAAATCATTTGTAAGATCATTCATGCCATTGACAGACAATGGCAACATAAACTAAAGGGGGAAAAAAAAGGTGCAAAGATAATTTACTGTCTGAGAAAGAATTTTATATGACAAGATCCAGACCATTTCTTGGGGCCGTCAGAATTTCCAAAGTTGCAATTTCAGCACAATAACAGTTCCCTCTTAACTATGTACCAAATGATAACTAGCTATTCCCGGCCAAAATTTTAAAAAGAAAGAAAGAAAGAAAGAAGCTACCATTGAAAACAAAGGGACAAGAATTCTCAAAGCAAATTGAAAAGTCATCAACCTAATCTACTTACCGTGTCTCGAAGGTCAACATGACGCAGATAAGCTCGTTGAAGGTTTGCACCCTTCAAATTTGCATTATTCAACTTTGCACCCTAAGATACAAGGAAGCACTTCTAAAGTAAGCAACCTAACTTAAAATCCAGTGCGGGGGCTGGAAAATAAAATCTTGCAAAACCATGTAATTTGACCAATTCAACCTAAACCAACTAAAAATAGGTACAGTTGCAGGCTTCCAAATATGTTGTACAGCAAAGAACAGCAATTCTCAAATTTCAAGCATGAAGAGAAGACATAACAGTTCTTGATAATGTAACACAACATTCCATCAGAAGAGAGAACAGTGAAAATTTTTCTGCGTCCTATTATATGTGATCCAATATCTTTTACCTTCAAATTTGCTCCTTCCAGGACAGCTCCCTCTAGATTGGCGTTAGTAAGATCTGCATTCTGAGATAATAAAGGTACTGTTTAATGGATCATAAAAGACCATTTTTTAAGACATGATAAGGGACTCTGCTTTTCTTAAGCTGCGAATTAACTGACAGGGATAAGTACAACTTCACCCCATGTCTTATGGCTCCCTTGAGTTATTGTTGTTATTATTATTCATGAAATACAGGAAAGATGTGAGTACAGAACCAACACAATGATCAAATCCAGAAGGAAGTAAACCACAGGGACCAAATAGAAATCGCCCTAAATAGATAAAGAAAACTCTCCTTGCATTTCACTGCCACTGAAACATTTTAACACACTGAAAAAGGGTAAACATACAGTACAATGTCTTTTTTTGAACCAAACCCAAGACGCCTAAGTACTAATACTAATTCCTTTATGATGCACAAAAATCTGCTATGTCTATGGAGGACACCCCATCCTCCTTTTACTGGCACATCACAACACCTATTGAATTTTGAGACCAGAACCCTCCATGAGACTCTTACTCTCTCACAGCTGCAAATTAATTCTACAAGTGAAAGGTCCATGTTTGGTGGCAAACCTGTAGATGTGCAGAACGCAGGTCAGCTCCACAGAAGCTACAATCTATTAGACAGGCATCTGCAGAATTGCAAAGTATCAAAAAATGTTTAATAGACAAAACAATGTTTATTAAACCGAAAACAATCAAGGCAATATATAGTGTTTCTCATATTGTATTGGTGGGATCAACATCAAAACAGAAAAGGAAGATGGATTATAACATTATGCTGGAAGCTTAAAGTATAGAAAGAAGCCTCGTAAATTGAACTTGGGTATGCACTAGATCTGTTTTCTATTTGTTACCATAAATACAAGGAAATATGCATGCAGAAAACCATGTGACTCAAGCAATAGTGAATGCTTATATGTTTTTTTCTTTTCCACAAATCAAGTTCAGCATTCCAAATGCCATTTATTACATCATCGTGCATAACTCTTTTCACAAACGAAAACATTCCCGCTGGGTCATTCACCAGTGGAGAAGCAAAGAGACATGTTAGTTCTGCCAGCATCAAGTTTTTGCAAGGTGTATATCCTCACGCGAAATAAAAGAATTATCAGACGAAATATTGGAAATACAAAAAGGTTGATATTAAGCCACTGAAAACCAAATGCACCAAATATTTAATTCCTTATATGGGTAATTTTAACAGCTGATTGTTAACAGACCAAACAGGGAGTTATGTGGCAGAAATGCACGTATAATGGAACCACAAGTGTAATAGTGTAGCATTGAGGAGTAAAAATTATCAATTGCTTTGCAAGATGAATTAAAGAAGACAAGTAGCAAAGATTAAGATGCCTTGTAGATTTGCACTCTGAAGGAAAGCACCAGCTAATAAAGCTCCACGAAGATTTGCCCCAATAAATTCACATCTTCCCTAGGCAAGATGAAATAAGTAAGTAAGAGGCCTGCAAGAATGATGTAACAGTAAAAAAGGAAAAAAAAAAAAGTATTTCTATGACTGACTTACTCACGCAAAGTTGCATTGTGAAAGTTGGAGGACTCGGCATCAACATCCTGTCAAATAAGGTTGGTTTCAGGAACACTTGTAAATTAATAAATTGCAGGTGGTTAAGTGGATAGCACCAGCTAACTGTACATCTTTACCAACTTGAACAAGACAAGCATATGGAATTACGTTTCAAAAAGTAGAAAATCAAAAGTTCAAATTAGCAAATAAATTTGTTGCCAAATACTGCATTCTACACATTTTGTTCCTTATGCAACAAAGGATAACCAGATGTCCTTGGGTAAGACCGTAAAGCTGTCATAGTCAGCCTGAAATTCTTGGAAACCTGAACTTAAGAACATCCCCATCAATCCTAACTTGCCATATAGGCACGTGTCAAACTGTTCCAGAATCTTGATAATCTTTCCAGATTGGTGTCCAAGGACTAGGTATATTTAGAATCATACTTACCCGGAATTTTGCAGATTGAAGGTTTGCGCGTGAAAAGAAGACATTTTTAAGACAAGCATAGCTGAAATCCACATTTGATAAATCCTGAAAATTCATAATCAAGATTATGAGGGGATGATGCCAGTAAACATGCTATTCATTATATTTGGGCACACGGAGGTTCAAGTGAAGATGACTTAAATTATTGTCAGATGTCATGTTAAAATCTCCAGCCAGTAGTTATGGGCTTATAGCCAAAATTCTCTTTCCGCAGATAACAGTTAAAACACAATTGCTTATTATCAACATTTTACACCTATTTAATGGTCCAATGTAAAATGCAAAAGTTTCTCCAAAGCACAGATTTGCTTTCCCCCCCCCCCCCAATCAAACTAAGATGCTGCTCAGATAAACAAAGGTCAGGAAATTACCAGTTTAGATAGGTCAAGGCCAGAGAGATTTACCCCCCGAAACCTGACTCTCTCTGATTGTATACACTTGATGATATCAGTCCGTGCCAACTCTGTATGTAGTTCATCATCTTCCTTCCTCTTATTAATGACAGCATGTATTCCATCTATTAGCCCCTGAAAATTTGGAACGGTTTACAGTTTACACCATAGGAAAGTGAGGAAAACTAAAAGCCACATTAAAGAAGTGGGCCAAAAGGCAAAACCCAGCAGAAGTTAATCTAAGTAGAAGACAACTTTGAAAGCATCTGATAATAATTTAGATCAATTAAAAGCCTGTAGCTTACAAGCAGCTGATAGTATTCTGCCTCCCGCAACAATTCTGTATATTCATACTCCTTTAGTGTGGGCACTGCTCCATCCCTCAACCAATTAAGGATGTGCCGAAAGTGCCTTCCATCCCTATCAATAAAGACATATCCCTGTGATCACCCACCGTGAACCAAAAAATTAAACTGAGTTGTCTACTTGAGCAAACGTATATAGTTTAATGATTCTATGACCAAACAAACTGCATAGCCACCAAAAACATATATCTAAATATAGGGTAAGACATCAGTCCCCAAAAAAAAAAAAAAGGGCAAGACAGTGATAGTAAGGTTCATCAGTCACTGAGTTCAACAAATGTAGCAGGACTTGATTGTGTAATACATGGAAGAAACATATCAATGCAAAATAAGAGTAACGAGAAGACTCTACCTTCTCAGGGTCGCGGCACAGAGTATGGCGACCGCTGAACATAGCCGCAAGCATTGAATCGGGCTCCCGCTCTGTCAAGGTATTGACTGTGGTGCAATATTTCTTCCCTCCTGACATGCGAAACGAAGAACAAAGAAATTTCAGCTCAATTTCTTGCTTGTTAAGGACTTGAGGTCCAACACATCACGTTCAAGATATATATAAATATAAGAATTGTCGGCATAATTTGGCAAGGAGAAAAAAAGAAGAGAAAAATTCAGCATTTTGTGACCCAAAAGTGCAGGAACTAGCCATGATATCGCACTGTAGGAAAGAGAGCTAAGGGCTTCAGATTCACCATAAACAAGAATGGAGACATCGATTATCCCAAGCCAAAGTATGTTTATTCCCTTGTTAACAATAACAATGGTCCCCGAAAGATGCAGAATGCATGATCGGATTTGACTATTTCCCTCGGTTTTCTCAGCAAGCAAACAAATTACTTGTGAGTAAATGTTACATTATTCACTGATAATGGTCACCTTTAACGATCTTGACATTGAGATGACGAAGATGGAAGAGTAAAAAATTACCTATATTGAGCCAAACCAGAGAAGGAACGTCAGATTCAGAGTTCTCCATTTTGCCGAATCGGGGAGAAGAACGCCAAGGGAAGAGATGAGAAGGCTGATGACTGCGCTAGGCAACTAACAGGCGCATTCCGGAAGCTTATAGGGAGGAAAAATTTCCCTCAATTTTTACCGGGTATAAATATTCCCTCCGAATTTTCAACTCACGCAATTTATCCACATCCATCAACCGGCCTGATAACCTGAGCAATTTTATGAAAAAATTAATTCACAAAAAATAAATTTGGCAATTAACCATATCTTTAAAGAATGAATCCTTTGTTTTCTGGCAAAAAAACAGAATGAATCTTTGTTTTCTTTGTTGGTTGGCTTGTAATAACTAATTATTTGTACAAATTAATTAGCTTGTTCATCTATTTGTAGCTAATCTCTATATTTCTGTTATATTTTTTTAAATAATACTATCTTGGTCTTACTTATAAGACTTTATTTGTAGTTTACAAATGAGGTCTTATAATTAGGATATAAAATAATTTATAAATAAGATTTTATAATTAGGATATGATATAGTATTTATCTTACTATTAGAAGCCAGATTCTACAAGTACATTCAAATTATTCCTTTGTTAAGAATATAATTAACGCAAAATGTATTTAAATCATTTTTTATCCCAATATTGAAAAATCGGCGTTTAGGCCAACAAACACTTTTGTGTGTGGGGGCGTAAAACACTATCAAATGGGCTAGGCTGTTAGTTTGGGATGGGCCCAAGTGGAGGTCGGCCCATGGCCCAAATCATTGGGAAGACGGATCATCCGCAATCCGCATGACTCATCATGCAGGAAGCGAGGGGCAGGAACCAAGTGTTGCATGGGTGCCTCTTCGCCGTTCCGACGTGGAAGCTATTGAACCCCTCCACGTTTCAGCCTTCCTCCTATTAAACGACACTAATTTGGTTTCGGTTCCTCTCCACGCTCCAGATAGAGAGAGCTTAGAGCAGGTATGGAAACCGCGACGGTGATGGAAACGACGAAGCTTAAGTATCTGTCCTCCATTGCCGAGGACGTCGTCCGAAGATGCGCCCAGTATTATTCTCTCTCTCTCTCACTTTCCACATTTTCTATGAAAATGACCACGTAATCATATGGAGGCATTTAGAAAATATGGCTCCCTCTCTTATTTAATAAGATGACGTAGATTCTCATCCCCTTGTTTATGATATACTTTACTATCAATCCCCAAAATCATATAAAATAGAGCCAAATCAAATCAAGTAATATACAGATTGAACTTCTTTTTTGTCTTCTCTTATAGTCATTTCATGGGAATATTGAAGCATGCACGTACTTAATGATTGACGAATTGTGAATGAACTTTTGTCAGGAAGCTGTACACTCCTCTAGAGAAATTAGTGGGAGATTTTGAAGCCGGATGGAATGCTGAAATGGGAAATTATTCCCAGAAACTAGTGGAATTTTGCAGTGAGAGGGCGCTTATTAGTGACATTAGCAACGACATACAGGAAAAGATTAGTGATGGGTCCTTTAGCAGGTTCACATATGACCTGATGCTTGCTTGGGAGAGGCCCAGCTACTACGATGAAGACGAGGCCACGGTTCGCATAACACAACTATTCCTGTGTATTTCTATTTAAATTACATCTTTTGCGGCAGTGGAGACTCGTATTTATATGTGCGACATCATATTTTGCGGAGTCTATCTTCAATTATTTGCCGAAAACGAGAGGAACTCAAATTTTCCAGAGTTACGTTCAATCTTGATTACAGAAGCATGTTTAATGGCAGGCAGACGGTTCATGTATTTACTTATTGAGGTTTGCAGGAGGCTGTTGCAAAGGAGAAAGAAGAGAGGAAAATACCTCTTAATGTTATCCATGAAGAACGCGATGAAATCCCTCTGTTTTATTCAGACATAATGCCTCTCCTTGTAAGAACTATGCCCCTCATTATTTAGGCTTCGATATTCATAAGATTTTGTACTTTGTGTAATATCTAATGCAGACTGTAGTGTTTTCTTTGCATTAAATCATGCCACTTAATTTATACTTTTTGTATAACGCATTTCATGTATGATTTTTGGCAGGTGAGCAAGGAGCCCAACGTTGGAGAAGATGCATTTGTGTGGCTGGCATCTTTGGTCCCATTAATAGCAGACGTTGCAAATGGAAGGTTTACTTTTGAAACTTTAACAGCACCAACAGGCCACCGACTACACTTTCCCGCATACGACTTCTTCTTGAAAGAAATAGACAAGTAATACATCAGATTCTAAATATCATTTTTCTCATGCTTTTTTTATGGTTTAAAAGTACGTAATTCCAGGAAATCAATTCTCAACAGGGACACACTGTTTTGGAATGCATGATTTTTTTGGGGAATATGATAAGTTACCATGAAAATTGGAGAATTTTTGGCTGGCAGTATGTTTGGTTATGAAAGAGAATCCATGAGACCTTTTTACTTTCTGGAACTAGTAGATAGATAACTCAAGTTCGGATTGAATCCAGCCTTCATGATGAAAGGATTATAATTGCTTTTGCCCCTTTTCCAACCAGATTAACTGATTAATTAGGTAAATGACCCATTCTGCTGCAAGGGATACGCTATTGTTTGGTAATTATCTATTCATAAATGTCAGTAAAATGCTTGGCTGATATATCAAAACTTTTCAATGAACATATGGTGGAGAAAGCTATAAATTTATGTTACTAGTCTAAGAAGAATTCATGTGGGATAAGTGCAATTTAGAGGCGTTTTCCCATTCTCTAGGATGGTGGTGGACCTCCAACTGTTTTATGTCTTATGCATTAGTACATGCCCAGATTCTTATTATCAACCCCGTCCCCCTTCTTTTAATGCATGTCTCTACAGATGTACAAGACATCTGCAAAAACAAGCAACACCAAATGGCATAGAGATGGCTGATGACGAATTTATATTACACGTGGAGGGAACAGCAAACTCTCAGAGAGTAGTTCGACACATTGGAGCAACAAGTTGGCCTGGTCTGTATTTTGATCAGTCTGACTAGTTAAGTTTTTTAATATGTTGGAACTTAGTCAGTATATATTTATCCAAGGTTGTGAATGCATTTTTTCCTCCCTTACTCTTTCTTTCTTTCCAGGTAGGCTTACACTGAGCAATTACGCCCTTTACTTTGAGGCCTCCGGAGTGATTAAATATGAAGATGCTCTTAAAATAGACCTTTCGAGGGAAACAGAGCACACAGTGAAACCAGCTGCCACAGGCCCCTGGGGAGCTCCGCTATTCGACAAGGCTATAATCTATGATTCACCTGAATTGTAAGTAGCTCCCAGAGCAAGGGCTTTTAAAGGATTCTAGCAGTTATTAATTACAGTCATCCATCCATCAATGTCACGATTTTGGAGTTACTTTGTTCAACATGTACATGAAAGTTCCAGAGAAGAAAAAAATGCACATTGTATACTTGGCTTCTATCTTACATTATTTAATTTCGGAAAAAACTTTGCTTCTTTTTTTTTTTCCCCCCTGGGAAACTCTTCAGTTTCTTAGACTCTCTAGTGCTAGACCTCTGTCATCACAAACTTTTAAATAAGCTTGGTTTTAAAAGCACAAAATTGTCGAATCTCTCTCCAATATGTGTTGAAATGATCTTTGATAATTCTGAAATTTTTAACTTGCGGCTGTCTATATATTGCTTTATAACTTATTGTGTGTAATTTTTAAGGATAGGAATGTTCTATTCTGATGCAATATATGCTCACACCTCTTTAATGGCATAGGGAATAGTCAGATGGACTTTTATCAATTACCAGGTCCTCTTTTTTTTTTTTTTTGTAGATCAGAGGGCATTGTACTGGAGTTTCCAGAAGTGACGAGTTCCACAAGACGCGATCATTGGCTTGCACTGACAAAGGAAATTATGTTGCTCCATCAATTTTTATCAAAATACAAAATAGAATGCCCACTACGATCATGGGAGATGCATGCCAGGACAATTCTGGGGATTATAAGGCTCCATGCCGCAAGAGAAATGCTAAGAATTGCACCTCCTGCTCCAACAAAGTTCTTGATATTTTCCTTATATGATGAAATACCAAAGGGAGACTATGTGCTAGATGAACTTGCTGAAAGCCTCAAGAAGCTTAACAGTGGACACCCATGCAGTGCGAGTTCAATCCTTAGAAGTATGAACATTTCTAGGCCCATCATTTCTGGTGTGAAACCAGTTAAAGAGGCTATACAAGCATGTGAAAGTGTTAGCGGTCCAGAAGAAAGTGTCGCCTCACTTGAAACTGCTATTAAACAGGCTATGGAGGAAGAAAAGGAAACTCTTATTGCTAAAGCTACCGCTGAAGAATTAAAAGAGGAAGGAATCACTGACAGTGTTGTGGTTCTAATGGTAATCCTTCAACTCATGAAGATTTCCCTCAATTCATGATACACGCCTCTTGCCTGTACAAAATGGTAATATGCTTATTTGGAATTGAGGCTTAATCATGGTTGGCTTGGAATTTATTTATAGGAGCTACTAAAGCCACTTAAACGCGCAGTTCCTTGGTTTCAAGAAATCTTCACATGGCAAAGGCCAATGGTTACTCTTACTATGCTTGCTGCATCGCTGATAATTACTTATATGTAAGTTCTTTTCTTTTTCTTTAAATTCTTTCCGGTAATCTTTTTCGCTCACATAGTTGTCATATTGTGTGCGAGACTAAAATTCTAAGAGTCGGCCTAGCTAGGCAAGAAACTAGATAACATCACCTATGCAACACAGGGAATGGATAGGCAAGGCACTGGCAATTTTTCTGATATGGACGATAGTGAAGATGATGGAGGCGAGACAAAAGAGGATGAACGAAAAATGCAACGAGCTAGTAATTAGCACAGCCTCTGAACGGTCTACGATGGAGAGCGTTGTGTCTGCCCAACAGGGACTAAACACTGTTCGGGAGATGATGCAGATAACGAATGTAACCATATTGAAGATATGGTCAATACTAATTTCTAAGGCGCATAAGGTAACTCCCTGTAACTTGCCGCGCTCGGCAACTTTCAATAAAGTAATTCAGTTTTATTATGAGTTTAAAATGAAGGAATGCTTTCTATTATTGATGGTAAACATCGTTGTTTCCGGGGCAGCATTCAAATACAGTGATGGTGGCATTGGCGGGCTTGGCAATATTATTGGCGATAGTTCCATTTAAGTTCGTGATTATGGGGTTCATATTGCAAATCTTCATGACGTCAAAACCAGGCAAGTCTTCTGGAACAGGGAACAGACGACTCAAGGAATGGTGGGATTCAATTCCAGTCATTCCTGTTCGCCTTGTAGACGCCAAGATCACCCCTGACCCTCATACTTACTGAATATTTGGAGCCTTTGCACCACCAGCATGTCATGTAAAGGGAACTTATTGGTGTACCCTCATACAAAATTCACGTTTCTACTCTCCAATAAAATGTTATGTTTTACAGTTTTAGAATGATTGAAGATTAGAAGCTTCCGACTTCTGGGCAAGCTGTGTTTGGTCCTTTTCTTTGACGTCAAAGCCGACAGTTGACGTATACGTGGCACGTTCAGCTCCGCAACACGTGCAACGCAATCTTTGAATTCCATTATAAAAGTGAAAATCCCTAAAAAAAAAAGTGTGAATATATAAAATGACACTTGAAAAGAAGAAGAAAATGGGATTGAACTAGCATTTTGAAAATCTTGTGGTGTTATTCGTTCCTCTTTGTGACCAAAAAAACTAAAACTTGTCGTTATAATCGAGGATAAAAAAAAAATGAAAATTATGATTTTCAGTTCAATATTTATCATTTTCAATTTCTTTCTCGTTATTTTCAGTCTTGTTAATGTCATTTGTCATTAAAGGATATATAAGTAATTTTAACATTTTAAAAATGTCAGGTCTTACTTTCTTCTCTCATTTTCAAGAGTCGCCTACCTAAATTGAACTTTCATATATTCAAACTTCTTTTTAGGGGTATTTTAAAATAAAAACGTATTTTTAAGTATATAATATTTTTTTAAAAAACGTAAAATATTTCGCACACGAGCATGCCTTTTCCCCTCAACACCAACTAGGATTTTTTAACCGCAGGATTATTTATTGCCCCCATTGGCCCCCGTGGTTCCCAAAATATGGGTCTAGTTCCCGGAAGCTCAAATCTGGAATAGAAGAAAATTTTATTTTTTTCGAAAAAAGAAACTGGGATGGCATTAACCGAAAAAGAACCAAAATGGTCGGGAGTCTAGAATAGCATGCCCATAATGCAAATCATACCAACGTAAATTTTTACAATCATCAAAGAGCGTGTAATCCGCAAAAATAAAGAAACCTTGATTAGAACATGCACTCGCGGTCTAGTGCACGGCACACACAAGGATGTCTCAATTTTCTGCCCATCGATCAGATTCTATGTACAAGATATAAAGTCGATCACAGTGGACCCCTATCAGGTAGACTACCGCAGTGTCTCCAATACAAGCAGCAGTTCCATAAAATCCGTCTCCGAAGGACCGAAATGCTTCTCTTCCTAAATTTCGCTGGAGTTCCTATCCTCTTGCCTTTTCCAAGTCAGGGAGATCTGCAAATAATAATAATTTATGTCCGGTTTAAGGGAGGAGAAAAGGCACAAAAACCCTCAGTTACTCGCAAGCTGACTACAAAAACTCGTCCCAGCTCGCGTTAGCACGATATATTAGTGCCAAAAACGAGAAACGCCTAAATTATGGTGCGCGTTTTTCATATGATAAGCAAAAAATACGTGTGACAAACAAATATGTTTCCACTAAGCAATGTAAAACGAAGTCTAAACTAGGGATACAAGAGGTTCACTCACACAACATCCCTTCATCATCACTGCTTCCATCATCTTGACCCACAAACTGAAGAAAATCGGATTGGACAAAATTAGATACCAGAAAATGAGACAGTGTAAAATTTTATATTATGTGAGATGAGTAGAACGGATCAACTTACCCGGGCATCATCATAAGATTCCTCGTCAGCTGCATAAATACAAGCAAAGCTCAGAGCACTAAAATTAAAATACTATCAATGAGAAGTTATTCAACTATTTTTGGTTGTCAACTCCCTAATAAGAATTTCAGAACATGGTAGTGCAGCCTTCCTGAAATTGGAGGTAACTTGCAAGGAGAAAGATACTGATAATCTAATTTTAGAGTTTTCCTATCAAGCCAGGGGTGGCCTAACGATCGATAATGCACAGAATCAGCATTTGAGCAAACAGTTCCCAGTTCTTGTAATAATTTCTAATCTGATAAACCATTAGAATACATTCAATGACAGGGATAGACCATTTTCTTCAAAAGTTATATTCAAAAAGAGTTATGCCAGTTAAATACAGTTTAATGTAAACCCGTAGGGTTTAGGCCCTCAAACAGGTCCAACAAGTGCAAATGAAGAACAGAAAACAATCTCCTCCTCCAAACTACCAAGCGAAAAATGATGGATAGCATGTATAAGAGAGCCGATAATCTTAAAGCACTCTAATTTTAAGGTATTGTGGCAGTGACTCAACAGATTAAGTCGCTGACACTCAATTTTTCTGGTTATCCAGTGTGCAATTGGCATGACTCACCACTTATGTATGAACTGAATAGATTTAGCGGCTCATACTCTATATTTCTTGTTTTCCACCTTAAAGTTGCACAACTAGCATTGCTCACAATAATATATATGAATAACTCATTATACATGTATAAATTGTCGATGTCCATCAATAAAAATCTAGCATCAAATAATAGTTACACTAACTTACATGCTGACTCTTCATCATCTTCATCGCACCATCTGTTCCAATCAACCTTCAGGTACGGTGCAGGTTTCTCTTCAGATTTTAGCAGCCTTTTCCACCATCCTTTCTGTTCTTTTTGAATTGAGCACAGTATGTTTCTCAAGCCAGATTTAGTTTTACAACCCTATACAACGATAACAAATTTAAAAACACAAACTTGCATCCTTTGAAAAAAAAAACTGACATGGTAAACGAACGACAAGTTGAGAATTCAGGACGGAACAATAGAATATCTACTAGTGAGAGCAATGAAGACTTGATAGTTGATCATAAGTAGGTACACAAACGGTAACTAGAGCTATGGACATTACACACTAAAGAAAAGGTGAGAAAAACAAAAGCAACCGACCCCATAAGTCAGAGAACTAACTTATGGACAGAGGACAATGCAAGGTGGCAAATTGGAAATGGCTTCTTTGTGCCTCATAGTATCAATAGGAATTTGGTTAGTTTGTGCAGATTGATTGAACAGTTGTGTTATAACCCAGAGGTTGTGTTAGTGTAATAGAAAAAGGATAGGTACGTATTTAGTTTCACATTGCAAACCACCAAATTCCAATGTAAAACCAAACACATGCTAAGAAAACTATCCAATAGTTGAAAGTGGATAGGGCTGCAGCTGCATTGATCCAAGAGTGAAAGAGCATGTAACGCCAAATGAATGGAAAAAGCAAATCCATATAGAGGTCTCAAATAATAGTGATTACTAACTTATATAGCCAACTCCAAACCTCGGGATTCTAATCTAGGCATTGGGGTGGCCGTAGTTACCATCACGTAATCACTAAAAAGAAGTCCACATAAACATACGCATAGGATTACCCGCGGCATATTAACGTAGTATACAGTTTTTTGTTTTGTTTTGTTTTGTTTTTTCTTTTTTTTTGGGGGGGGGGGGTGTGGCTTCATGTAGCCCGGAATTAACGCTAGAGCGGGAGTTAACAGCTCACCTCAGCTACGATTGGTCCATAAAGTTCCAAGCCGAACTTGTAGGATTCACCTTGAACTCCTTTAGCAGAGAAGCTAAATAAACCCTGAGGCTCACACTTAACAGAAACATCCTTGGCATCAGGTAGAGCAACAGTAAGATAAACCTTGTCAGAACGCTGAGCCCAGAGAACTTCAGGTTGGCGACTGCTTACACAAGAGGGAAAAAAAATTATCAAACGCAGAATTTGAGGAAAAAATTAAAAAAGGGCTCGGAACACCCAATCCTTTATGAATAAGTGAGGTTATAAAATGTGATTCTGCAAATTTTTTTTGGGGGGGGGGGTCCTGATTTTATCAGGCGGGAGAGAAGACCGAACCAAGATTTGCTGCATTTCAACCCAAAATATTTTCGGCAAGCAGAACACTCGTAAACCCTCAAATGCCCGTCAAGGAATTTCAATAATACCCCCCCTCCCTCCCTCTCTAAAACAGAAAAGCTATAGGCTGGGGCTGGGGGTGCAATCCAAAGAAAAACAAAGCTTTGTTGAGAAAGAATATAGAAGAGTGTAAGAGAAGGAATACCTCATTTGCTAGTCAATTGGGAAAGACCAACGGCGAGAGAGCCCAGAGACGAGGAGCGAAAATACCCAGATATGTTGGGGAGCAGCGAAGAGTACAAAGATCCGCTGAAAGTGAAAGTCTTTTCTACCCAGTCAGTCAGTCACCTCCGCGGCCGAGAAACATTTTGGACTTTTTTGGTGTGGTATGAAAGGATTTGACGAGAATGCGATAGGATGAATAAATAAAATGATAACAGAAGTTGGGGGTCGCCCTACACATCTGTTGAGTAAAAAAATCGGAAATATGGCTTGAGGATCGTTCTATTAGAGCATTGTGGATATAGATTTGCTGGTCGAAAAAGACCATTATAGATTTTAAAAACTTTTATTCAACAAGTTTCAAAGTTACTCAAAAATAAATTATTATTAGAATTTAAAAATATGTTACTAAAACTATTTTAGACTATATTATTTTATTTAAATTTATAATTTTCAAATGCATGTACACTCACTATCAATATCATAGATATAATAATCAATACGAAGTGCGGAACCACAATATTTACAAATAATTAACACTCATTTAATTTTTGTTTAAATGTACAAAATTCAATTGATAAAATTATAATCTGTAGCTTGAGGTCAAAAAATAAATTCAATAGACATTATATAACAATTAAGTTGAAACTAAGAGTGATATTTCTCTACTCTAATTTATCAATATTAATAACTATAATAAATTCTACCATGGTATTACGTTTTAAGGTAAGAAAAACAACATGAGTTAAAAATACATAAATATAAGCAGTTAAATAAAAATTACGTTAACTATAAAAATATTTAGTAATCTTAGTTTTTGAATGGACACCAAAATTATATTCTTAGAATTTTATATTGAATCCATTGATCACAAAAAGGAAATAATCTTAGACTAATACGAAAAAAGTTATAAATAAATTTTGATTTAATTTAATTTGTACCTGTTCACTATTATTTCTAATATAGAGTTAAATATAGTTTCATATTTTTATTTCACAATAAAGTAGTTTGTTATGTTTTGAGATCTAATACTTAAATGTTGTGATTAAACTTTGTTACTTATTTTTGGTCCAAAAAAAACTTTGTTACTTATTGATGGATAACGGGTTTTCAACAATCTCTTCTGTCTTCTGGCCAAAAAAAAATCTCCTGTCCTTTTCTGGCCAAAATAAAACCCTTCTGTTCATAGGGAGTCAAAATTTCACGTGGATTTCATTGCTACAGGCAGTTTCATGCCTGACACGTGACGTAAACATATAAATAGGGACCTGGCCGCTGGCTGCTGGTCACTGCTCTTCGCTTTCAGAGAGTCCCAGGAGAATTCCAAATGCCGAAAGGTTAGAGCCCCAAACTGTGACCCGAGACCTAAGCCCTTCACAATCAACTGGAGGCTCAGTTGACGCCAAAAACTTTGCTTCTATCACAGCGTCCACGAATTCAACAACTCAGTTCAGGAAATCGCAGTCGATGGTTAAAAATGTCGGTGCTTTAGCGCATCCATTGGGAAATGGGAATGGCTTATACCAGGGACATGGACGATACTTATGCGTGGTTGGTTAATGTGAAGGAGGAGGCGTCTGAGCGTTTCGATGTGCCTCTGGATGATTGTCAGAGAATTGGGAAGAGAGAACAAGAGACTGGGCACTCAACGAGCACAGTGACGAACTCCGAAAACGGGTTTCAGTTGTTTTGTGGGAAAAAAGGGAAAGGGGGGAGTCCTCTGGAATCAGGAAAAGAGGTAGAACTAGATTCAAGTTCAGCCTCTGCCGTTAAAGTCGCCAAAGAGGACAGGATAACGACCGTGCCAAAGCTAAAAGTGCCGTTTCATATACCAACTATAAGGAGGCCTCAAGATGAGTATAACATAATGGTTAATAATTCGAACCAACCTTTTGAGCATGTCTGGTTGCAGAGGAGTGATGATGGTCAGAAGTTTATTCATCCTCTGGTTAGTTTTCTGGTTTTCTTGGCAGGCTATCTTGTTTGCTTCTATCTTTCTAATATCTTGTCAACTTCTTTCATAGTCTGTGAAGAAATGATGCAATTTGTTGGGGGTAATTTTTAGACTTTCTTCATAGCAGTGTCATGCAGATTATATATGCATATTGAAACTATACGGTTGACGCACACGCTTAATTGGGAAGCATCTATAGAATTAGATCCATATCCAGGATCATTTTGGCACCCACTAATCTTGGTATCATTGCATTAATTAAAGAGCTGCAGATCTGTTGAATTCGATTGAAATTGTATTTTAAACCAGGAAGGACTTTGTCTTGAAAGGTCAATTCTTTGCTGGCGTCTGCCATTCGGTATATGTATTAGTTTTGTTTGTCTGAACTGGATTTGTATAATTATGTTATATCTCCTATACGTAATTTAAATTTTGAGCATCTTGCTTATGTTTTATTGTTTTTTGCGATTATCTTTTTTTTTTCCCCAAAAAAAATGTGTTCTTTTTTGCTTTTCTCTCCTACTATCTGTATTCTGTACTGAATACTGCTTTATAATTTCAAGGAGAAACTCTCTGCCTTGGATTTCGTTGATAAAGATTGTGGGGATGTTGGGCCAATAAAGCCTCCTTCGGTTGATTGTACCCCTTTCAAGGTAGTGAAGGACGTCAAGGATTTGAAGGAGTTGGCTGCCAAGCTGCATGCTGTTAAAGAATTTGCGGTGAAACATGAGTGCTATTCATTCAGAGTTGACTAGGACTTTTCTTCTTGACCTGGCTGACTTTTTTTGTCTTGCCTTCAAATATCTAGGTGGATCTGGAACATAATCAGTATCGGTCTTTTCAAGGAATGACTTGCTTGATGCAAATCTCAACCAGGACTGAAGATTTTGCGATAGACACTCTGAAGCTGCGTATCCATGTTGGGCCTTATCTAAGGGAAGTTTTCAAAGATCATGCCAAGAGAAAGGTCTGACGTTCATGATTAATGTTCTTTTTGTTGATCAATAGATTTGCGACACTCTGTTGACTGTGTTTATGGTTAATTAGGTTATGCATGGAGCAGATCGAGACGTACTGTGGCTTCAAAGGGATTTTGGCATTTACATTTGTAATTTATTTGACACTGGCCAGGTTTGCTTTGAAAGATCTGAATGTTCAATTTTGAGATTTATCCCGCGACTGATTGTCAATCTCACAAACATTAATATGACTGGGATGATGTTTTGGCTGAAGAAAAAAGGACGTGATGACAAAATCATTTTTCAGTATTAAGTTACTTCTATCCATTTATGCTAGCAGTGTCTCTGTATCTGCATGCATATGATGTTCTTCAAAGAATACGCAGAACTAGTTTTTGGACAATCTGATGAATTAGTTTCTTCGTCTTTTTATATTGAAGGAGCGTAATAGAATTCTTTGTTGAGCATTTAATGCATTTAGAATGAGCTTATGTGTTCAGCAACAGCGGAACTGATGAAATGATGCCTATGAAGTTAGGCATTTGGTTGTCCTTGACCTATGTTCCTTAATTACCATCTCAGTTATTTTTGACTTTTTTTTAACCTTATTGTGATGCATGACTAATGTACTTTTATTCTCATAGGCTTTTGTTGCTGTTCTTGTTGTTGTCTCAGGCCTCAAGAGTATTAAAATTGGAAAGAAACAGTTTGGAGTACCTTCTACATCATTATTGTGGAGTTACTGCAAACAAAGAGTATATATTCCTTTTCCTTTGATGGCTTTCTTGGAATACGATGCCTTTCGATTGTCTTTACTCAGATGTTTTATTGATTTTTGTAGCATGACTATTCCTTTTCAATCTCACCTGCATTTTTTAATGTTGACTAGTCAACTCTTTGCAGATACCAGCATGCAGATTGGAGACTACGTCCTCTTCCTAATCAGATGCTTAGGTGCAATTATGCTTTGGACTTCTTGAATATGATCATATCCTTGATTCCTCTTGTCCTTGTTTTCCCTTTAGCTTGCTATTCTTTTTCCAATTTTTTTTCTGTTGTTCTGACTTGTATATCTATAGTTAGGCCTCTAAAAATATATTCAAATGAGTAGTTCAAGTGTTTGAGGACGTGATTTTCAGAATATGGTTATCCTGGTTTGGATACGCTGCCATTGTCACTGTAGTCTTGTGGTGCTGGCCTGAAATTAATGGAAGACAGAAAATTTTGGTCCTTATTTAAAACAGAACTAACCACATTTCTTTAACATCTAGCCATATATAGCTTTTATTCTGTAGTCAGTGCACCCTCAGGATGTTCAAGTGATCTTGTTACTTAAGCTTGATCGAAATGTTAACAGCATCTTACAATGGCTTCTTTGGGCGACGGTAGCTGCAGCCTGAGAAAACTAGTCCCATTCATTGCTGATTTCAGCTGTGCAGTTTGTCTGTTAATGTGCAAAACTCCCCCCACCACCTAGGAAAAAGACTATTTGCCTCCGCTAACTTTGTTTCTCATGTCTGATTCCAAGATCATGTTATTGTTTGACAATCACTAGCATACTGCCCTTAGCTAATTTTATCAATACCATCTAATGAAATGATATTCTGATGACAGATATGCCAGAGAAGATACCCACTATCTGCTGTATATATATGACTTAATGAGAATGAAGTTATTTGGATTGTCCAAAGACCCTCAAAATTCTGATAATCCTCTGCTGGAGGTAAATTCTTATGAATTTCAAGAAATCCCTGTTTTGGATGCTATTGCTTAATATTATTGAAAAAAATTCCGGTTAGTTGGGCATCAGTTTGCACTCTTCTCAAAGATCCAGGAGCTTATTCTTATTGGTTTCAAAAGTTTACATCTGTTGGATATTTCTGTTTCCGGACTTTGGATGAGTATGTTCTTTAAGCTCTTGCAACTTATATTCGGTGCTAGTTCTCCAGTAACTTATGGTCATTCCTAGTAAGTTATATGCCAGTCTGCTGTCAAACTGAGATTAAACATGTTAGATGAACGTTGTTGTGGACCATTTCATCCTGAAAGTCCAGTAATAGTATTAATATATGTATCTTACACGCTCCTTTTATAAAAACCCCTTTTGGCTTGAAGTATGAACAAAATATAATTCCACTTTTATTGTTCTAAAATTAATTTTAAGTGAATGGAACAGCAAGGATCGGATTTCTATATTTGTTCAAGAGGCTGGCTTCAGTGCTATGTAATTGACCATATAATCCCGAAAGCTCAAGCTATTATTAGAAGGCTTAAGCATGGTTTTGATATACATGTATATTGGTCATATATCTGTCACTGGCAGGTGTACAAGCTCAGTTATGATGTGTGCATGCAGCTATATGAGAAAGAGCTACTGACTGAGAACTCCTTCCTATACATATATGGGTTTGTTACGTTCTTCCAAATGTCAATCTTTCATTAAGTAGGCAGTGTTCTCAACTTTCAATATTTACTTCTTTTATGTCTGTTCTATGTCAATTTTTTGTGTGAAAATTTGATTTTTTTCTGTAGTTTTTTCCATTGCATTTGATGCCTGCCAAGAGTGCTAAATCAAAGTCCGATTACTGTTGTCTATCCAGGTTGCATGGGGCTGGTTTTAATGCTCAGCAATTGGCTGTTGTTTCAGTAAATTTCTCTAGAATGTTTTTTCTTGATGTTATCACCCAATCGTTATTTCTTACAGTTGCCTACTGTTTTTTTTAGTCATACTATGCTCATTGCTTGGCTTCAGGGGCTTTATCAATGGCGGGATATTGTTGCTCGTGCAGAGGATGAGAGCACTGGCTATGTATTGCCAAATAAAACTCTTCTGGAAATTGGTATATCAAATTTGTTTTAACTTGCATCATTTTTTCTACTAAGACGTAGTGCTTCAGTTATATTGTACATGTCGAGTTATTTTGCTATCTTTTTTCTGTGTAAAAAGCTAAGCAGATGCCTGTTACGAAAGGAAAACTACAAAAATTGATGAAGTCAAAGCACCCATATGTTGAGCGCAACTATGATAGCATTGTCAGCATCATTATGCATTCTCTGCAAAATGCTTCTGCCTTTGAAGCAGTTGCACAAAAATTGGAAGAGGAACGCGGCACAACTGTGAGTATCATTTAACTAATGAACTGCTGATATTACATAGAGTGGGTTACAGTTTTGCCCCTTAATTTGCTGGCTCTTTATTGTAGTTATAATTTAGCCATCTGCGGTTTGGGTTCAAGGGGGTAGGGTCCATATTTTCTTGACTTATTCAGTGAAAGTTTGTGACACGGTTTTACACTCAAGCATGTACAATGATTTATTCAATATATTTGCATTTTGACAAACAAATTATTGAAATCCTCGATTTGTATTTTAGCTCTGTGTAGTTGATGTATGCTCTGCTTTAGTGACACGAGTGCATATACAAGGACTTGAAATACGAATCGAATGAGATGTATTTTAAGTCTAATACATGAACTTACTGATCTAATTGCGTCAAGGTGGCCATGGTCATTCATCGTGCTCTGTTCAGTGTGCAACTAGAACTAAGATAGAAGATGAAAAAACTGGCCATTATTTGGTTGACTTGTGTTTGTCTATTGAACTCTGCGATGCTTGCAGGCATTAGGTGATATACACGATAATTACAGAGCCGAAGCTCCCATACTTAAAATGCCTAACTTAAATGTTGCAAATGCAAGAAAAGAAAGTATTGGAGTTGAAAGTGCCAAATCACCATTTTCTTCTGCCCTGAAAAAGGATACTCTTCAGCATCAAAATAAATCTGGACAACTTAAATTTGAATCAAATAGTCCTACTTCAGAATTTCCTCATGGAACTCTCAATATTTCTCGACAGAACAAGGGAGCTAACTCCGGCATTCCCTCTACTGCAAAGGTTATAAGAATTATATTTATTTCTTGGCTCAATATTTTGTCCTCTAAGAAGGAGCACCAATTTAACTGTTAGTTATCTATGGGTAGGATTATAGTGCAAATGGTCAAGTGCTGAAAAAGCCTAGCAGTGCTTTTGATGCACCGCTGGAGAATTCAACTTCAAAAAGGAAGCCCGATTTTGACAAGGTAATTTTCCCTGTGCATGTGTCTAGTGTTCTTGTTCTTGTTGTATGTCTGTTTATTTCTAAGATGCGCTTGAAATTCGATACCCTTTAACATTTGTTATTTTCTAGGGAAAGGAAGAGGTCAAGCCAGAGCGGATTAGATTCTCTGTCAATCTTCCTCTTCATTCATTTTTGGGTAGCAATGACCAGTCAAGACTGGTCATTGAAGCTCCTAGCATGGCTCATAAAACTTCCATGGCCCAAAAACATGCGAAAGATCCAGAGAGCATGAGATGCAACAACTAGGAAAACACAAATCAGCTCAGAGAGAAAAGTTTTGCGCCCAATATTTCAGTTAAAGAGGAAAGAGACGAGGCAGTGTCTCTCTCAGAATTATCATTAAACTTCGAAGGATGCTTCCCGCCGAACAATCCAAATAAATCCAGACTGTCCTAGAAAACATAAGAACCCACTGGCTGATTGCAACTGAAGCCGCATTTGACTATGAAGAGAAAAGAAAACAGTTCAAGTTTGAATACGATGCGGAAAATGCGTCTTCCTATGGTGATGATGGCATTACACTATTCCTCATCAGTGTGACTAAGGCAGTTCCATCTTCTGACGCTGAGTCAAATTACAATATTCTGTTGGTATATTGAAAAATAGATCTGGACTTTGTACAGGTGTATCGAAAAGGCAGAAACTATGATCGAATCAAATTGAGCAAAAAGAAAAATCATATAAAATATCTTCCATGGGTTATTTTTCATGTCTAGTTACAATTTGATATGAGCGTGTGTAACAGTGGATCTATTCTTTGCATGGGTGGCTGAGGGGATATGGATCGTTGAATGACATGCTTCAGCGTTCAGATCAATCCATCCCATGTTCTCCTCTCTATTACTATAATTTTACCCCTTTTTTATCATCATGACGGGAAGGGGAAAAAAAAAACTAGGTAGTTGACTGGAAGTCTGGAAGCAAAGCAGAAAAATAAGAGCTTTTTTGTTTTGAGATGTACTACCTCCGAATCTAATTATAAGATCCAGTTGACTAATTTGAGAAAATTAAGGGAAGAAGTTAAGTTAATTATTTATAATAAATACGTGTTGTTTCTTTTAAAATATTCTTATTAATCAACTATATCAGCTAGAACTATAATTATTAGAAAGACTACATTGGGAAAAAAATGCATAAATATGATAGACAAAGTGGATTGGGGTCTTATATTTATAATTAAAATAAAAATCAAACATGATCTTATATTAAAGACAGGAGATAGTGTATTCCAGGTTTTTCTTATAGTCTTCGGATTTTATTGGACCATTCAGATTTGGCTGGAGAGAGAGAGGTAACATTGTGCACATGTGCGCGCGCGTATATTTACATGATGTTATTGTTTTTTGGGAGAATTACTATAGAGTCCCAAGCAAGAGATTTTATCACTCTAAGGTCCCTGGAGATGCTAAAATGAATCTGAGGTCCCAAGGGACTTAATTGTGAAAAATTCCAATTGTGCAATTACAAAATTACCCTCATTCATTTGAAAGAAAACGCTGAAGAAAAATATGAGGGTTCTTTCATTCGCACAACTCCGTCGCATCTCGCCTCTCTTCCTATCGCGTCTCGCCTCTTTGACTGTGATATTATGCTCTGCTCCTCGCCTCTCTGACTCCGTCTCTACCTCACACCTATTGCTTCTCATTGTCACTACCAACTTTCTTGTTTTTCGCTTCTCATTCTGTGAAGTATAAAATGATGCTCTGTTTTTCGCTGGTTCATGCTCTGTTTCTGCTGAAAATAAATGAATATGACAGTGTTTTTTTTGTTACAATCCCTGTAATGCGATGGTTCAATGTGTTGTTAATGGATACATCGAAGGTTGTCAATCTAACTATATGACTTGTCATTGACAAGTGATTGTGACAGGTTGATATGAAGAATGGCAAGTTCAAGTAGGAAGCATTTGTTCTGCTATATCCATCCAGGGAGACAATTTATTAATGATGTAGAAGATGAAATGCAATAAGTTGGAGATGGTAGCATATATAGCGTTTTGTTTTTTCATTTGACAACATAATGACATCTAAATGTAAAGTTAAGTTAATGTGTATTGATATTATTTAATGGTTACAAAGTTTTTTTAATGCCATTTACGTGTATTGATTAGCATGAAATTCTCCATTAATATCCTTATCATGTCTAGAAATGATAAGGGTATTAATACTAAAAAAACGAATGCTAACTATGATGACATGATAGGTACATATCACAGTCTTCTCTGTCAGATCTATTGACAACCTCAACAGTGAGTGTTGACAACCTGAGGAGAAGTCATTGACAACTTCAACAGTGTCGCTAACAACTGACTCTGTGGGATAACACAGCCTCTAATCAAATAGAATTATTATCATATATAATGACTTTAACAGTAAAATGGGAAGCTCTTTCAAGTCATCAATAGCTTTAAGTGAATCCAATTTGATTATAGCATAATTTTATTGCAGAAATTCATTAACAACCTCAATAACGAGTGTTCACAACCCAAGAAGAATCTGTTGACAACCTCTGCAGTGTCACTAACAACTGACTATGTGGGATAGCATAGCCTCTGATCAAATAGTATTATTATCATATATAACCACTCTAACAATAAAATGGAAAGTTCTTGAAGTTATTAACAACTTTAAGTGAATCCAATTAGATTATAACAGAATTTTGTTGCAGAAATTCATTGACAACCCTAACAACAAGTGTTGACAACCTGAGGAGAAGTCGTTGACAACCTTGGCAGTGTCACTAACAACTGACTCTGTGGGATAGGACAGCCTCCAACCAAATAGTATTATTATCATATATAACGACTTTAACAATAAAATAGGAAGCTCTTTCAAGTCATTAACAACTTTAAGTGAACCCAATTGGATTACAGTAGAATTTATTACAGAAATTCATTACAACCCAAGAAGAATCTGTTGACAACCTCTGCAGTGTCACTAACAACTGACTATGTGGGATAGCATAGCCTCTGATCAAATAGTATTATTATCATATATAACCACTCTAATAATAAAATGGAAAGTTCTTGAAGTTATTAACAACTTTAAGTGAATCTAATTAGATTATAACAGAATTTTGTTGCAGAAATTCATTGACCCCTAACAACAAGTGTTGACAACCTGAGGAGAAGTCGTTGACAATCTTGGCAGTGTCACTAACAACTGACTCTGTGGGATAAGACAGCCTCTAACCAAATAGTATTATTATCATATATAATGACTTTAACAATAAAATGGGAAGTTCTTTCAAGTCATCAATAGCTTTAAGTGAATCCAATTTGATTATAGCATAATTTTATTGCAGAAATTCATTACAACCCAAGAAGAATCTGTTGACAACCTCTGCAGTGTCACTAACAACTGACATTATGTACACATGCAACCGATATGCTTTTTTAAGTGGGTTGTGAATTTGGTGTAGTTAAATTGTATACATATATATAAGTGATAAATGATATTTGGAAGTAATCTAATATAATATCATTTCTATTTTGCTGTACTTGTCAATAGATTGCCATAGACTTGTTATCACATGTTGTTGAGGCTGTCATTGACAGTCTGAATAAGTTACTGGTATAATATGACAATTTCATGTACTTGTAATGTTTCATGATTTCTTAACATATGATTTTAGTGTTAAAGCTGTGATATGATATTATTTAGTTATAATTTAATGTTATTTGAAGGTTGTGCTATCCCACAGAGTTAGTTATTAGCAACACTGCCGAGGTTGTCAATAGATTCCCCATGGGTTGTTAACACTTACTATTGAGGTTGTCAATGAATCTCTATAATAAAATTTTACTGTAATCAATTGGGATCACTTAAAACTGTTAATGACTTGAAAGAGCTTCTCATTTTATTGCTAAAGTTGCTATATATGATAATAGTGCTATTTGGTTAGAGGTTGTGCTATCCCCCAAAGTCAATTGTTAGCGACACTGCTGAGATTGTCAATAGATTTCTCTTAGGTTGTTAACACTCGCTGTTGAGATTGTCAATGAATTTCTGTAATAAATTCTACTGTAATCCAATTGGGTTCACTTAAAGTTGTTAATGACTTGAAAGAGCTTCCTATTTTATTGTTAAAGTCGTTATATATGATAATAATACTATTTGGTTGGAGGCTGTCCTATCCCACAGAGTCAGTTGTTAGTGACACTGCCAAGGTTGTCAACGACTTCTCCTCAGGTTGTCAACACTTGTTGTTAGGGTTGTCAATGAATTTCTGCAACAAAATTCTGTTATAATCTAATTGGATTCACTTAAAGTTGTTAATAACTTCAAGAACTTTCCATTTTATTGTTAGAGTGGTTATATATGATAATAATACTATTTGATCAGAGGCTATGCTATCCCACATAGTCAGTTGTTAGTGACACTGCAGAGGTTGTCAACAGATTCTTCTTGGGTTGTGAACACTCGTTATTGAGGTTGTTAATGAATTTCTGCAATAAAATTATGCTATAATCAAATTGGATTCACTTAAAACTATTGATGACTTGAAAGAGCTTCCCATTTTATTGTTAAAGTCATTATATATGATAATAATTCTATTTGATTAGAGGCTGTGTTATCCCACAGAGTCAGTTGTTAGCGACACTGTTGAAGTTGTCAATGACTTATCCTCAGGTTGTCAACACTCACTGTTGAGGTTGTCAATAGATCTGACAGAGAAGACTGTGATATGTACCTATCATGTCATCATAGTTAGCATTCGTTTTTTTAGTATTAATACCCTTATCATTTCTAGACATGATAAGGATATTAATGAAGAATTTCATGCTAATCAATACACGTAAATGGCATTAAAAAAACTTTGTAACCATTAAATAATATCAATACACATT